CCCCCCCTCCTCCTCTCCCTTCCTCTCTTTCCCATCCCCCTCCTTCCCTCTCCTTCCTATTTTTTTTCTTCTTCTTCTCTCTCCCTTTCTGTGTTAAGGCACAATCTCACTATGCAGACCAGGTTAACCTCCAACTTGCAGCAATCCTTTTACCATATCCTCCCAAGTGCTAGAAATATAGGCATGATCCACCATGCTCAGCTAAGTTATTTTTTTATAAGATACTGATATATTTCTTAGAAATATAATACTCTTGTATGTTGATGACCAAGATATTAATTAAATAAATAATTAGGAAAAGAAGCAGCATAGATAGCAAGCAGTAAAATTAAAATAATTGTCAGAGTTTTATTGTATGAAAAGGTGAAATTTGAAAATAGTAAGGAATTATTAAAGTGGTTTTGATAAGGAGAAGTTTAGTTAAGAAATGAAGTTTGCATAACTAGCTATTCATTTTTGGAGGAGTGAAAATAAATCTTTTTTGACCCAGTTTTACAAATATATTTTTATCTTCTGAGAGTTTCATACATGCATACGATGTATCTTATCACATTCATCCCCACTGCTCTCCTTAACTCCTCTGAATTTCTTGCCTTCTTTTTTATTTTTTATAGTCTACTACTGATTCCAGTTTGCCTTGCCCAAACTCATGGGTGTGGGACCATCCACTACAGTGTGGTTGACCTGCTAGGGTCACACCCTTAATGAAAACAGATTCCCCTTCTCCAGAAGCCATCAACTCTCAGTAGATCATTAACTAGCGGTGAGGCTCATGAGCTCCCTACCGCATGCTGTAATGTCAACTGACTTGATCTTTTGAAAGCCTTGTGCAGGTAACTACAGTCACTGGTAAGTTCATGAGTGTAGTGGATCTGTCACATCCAGAAGACAGTGCTCCTTCTGGTTCTCTCTGACTTCTGGCTCTTACCATCTTTGGTGCACTCTCTTCTGAGAAGGTGCCCCGAGCTTTCGTGGAGGAGGTGATATAGGTGTCCCACTTGTGACTGAACATTCCCCAGGAGCTTACGATCTGCCTTTTGACCAGTTGGGAGTTTCTGCGTTAACCACCATCTGGTTTATAGATATTTCTGATGAACTCTGTGAGCCAAAGTGCCTCATTTAAAAATGATTAGATTTAACATACGTAAAGTTACTTTGTCAAGGTGATATAAATGTTTCAACTTAGGTACTTAGTGAGCTACTAGCAAACAGTACCTGTCTGAGCAGTGCTACTAGAGATGCTATTTCTTGTATCTTTCTGGACTCTAAACATATGTGTATCCATCCGGTGCCAGAGTTCCTGGTATGCAAGTAAACACCCAACTAAACGCAGCTATATTATTTAATCCTTACACCAACTCTTTGATGTCATTGGACTTATCAGTTAATCATCTGTGATGATTTCGTAGAGGAAAAAAAAATAGGTTTGGTTGGTAAAGCAACATGCCTGATTTCCTGTGGTAAGTAGCCCTGATAGGTAGAGTGACTCCCTAAAGATGTCTGCTGGAATTTGCGAATATGTGATGTTACATGAGAAAAGGAGTTTTGCAGATGAAATTAAGGTTAGGTTTTCTGTGTACTTGTATGTGTACTTGTATGTGTCTGTGTGGGAGTATGTGCACATGAGTGCTGGTACCTGAGGAGGCCAGAATAGGGTATCAGAGCCCCTGGAGCTGGAGTTGTGAGCTGCCAGATGTGGGTGCTGGGAATTGAACTCCAGTGCTTTTAACTACTGAGCCATCTCTCCAGACCCAGTGTTTGATTTTAAAAAATATTTATTTATATTTGTGTGTGTATGTGTGTGTATGAGTATGAACATTTGCAAGTGTCTACATGAGTGTGCATGAGTACCACGCCATGCATGTGGAGGCCGGAAGACAACTTGCAGGTGTTGCTTCAAGTGAAAATAAATCTTAGTTTTACATAAAAACCCAAAATAACTCCAGGACTAAAGAGTCCAATGCATTAAATAATAATAATAAAAATTACTAGACAAAACATAGGAAAAGTTTTTTACACTCTTTT